GAAGGAAGGTTACAATTATTCAATGCTATGCACCTACAAACAACGCGGAACAAGACAAGAAGGAAGAGTTTTACAGACAATTGCAAACAGTAATGGACAACATCCCGAATGGTGACACCAAAATCCTCATGGGCAATATGAACGCCAAATTGAGACCTGATAATAGAGGAAGGGAACTCATCAGGGGTCGACAGGCTCTCAGAGAAATGAATGAGAACGGAAAACTATTCGCAGGCCCCTGCGCCTTCAATGATTTGGTGATTGGGGCCAGTGAATGCAATAAGAAAGATATACACAAAGTGATATAAATCTCGCCTGACGGATATACTAGAAACCAGACAGACTTCATCTCATTGCTGCTCCAAGGAAGTTTAGACACAGCCTGCGAGACACAAAGTCGAAAAGGGGAGCAGATGTGAGCTCAGATCATCATCTGGTTCAATAAACCTTCAAGGTGAAATTGCAAGCCTTCAGAAAAACTGGAGACAGACTGCAATTAGAGTTCAACACTCAGAAAATGAAAGACAAAATTACAAGGGATAGCTTCACTACAGATCAAATCAGAGGAAAGTTGGAGACACTAAGTGGCATCACTTAGGGAACCTGTGTGGAAGAACATTGGAAGTCTTTGATGGTGATATTCAACGAAACGTGTGTAGCCAGTTTAGCAAGAAAAAAGAGGCAAGACAAGGAATGTCTCTCTAGAGAAACCTGGAAACTAATAGAAGGTAGGAGAATGGGGAAAGAGAAGGAGACCTAATACGAAGATGGACAACAGAACGACAAGCTATGTTCAACGTACATCACACTGAATAAAGAAGTGAAGACGAGTGCTAGGAAAGGCGAAAGATAATTCTACGACACACTGCCAACTGAAGTATAACAGGCCTCAGGTAAAAGAGACCTGAGAACATCATATCAGATAACCAGGTCTCTATCGGAGAAAAGATCAATATGGATGAAACCTACCAAAGATGGTGAATGGGACCTAACTACCAAAGAGGACAGACAAAGAAGATGATAGGTTGATCATATTAGATATGTTCACGCCAATGTTAAAAAATCGTTTGGAAGGAAAGAAAGGTACCTACTGACTGGAAGAAAAATGACCTCGTCAAACTATCAATGAAGGGTGACTTACGCCTCTCCAACCACTGGCACGGAATCATGATCTTGTCCAAGCCAAATAAAACACTAAGTAGCGTCATCCTAGAGAGAATGAAAGATGCATTGGATACAGAACTCCGCCAGCCGGAACAAGGTGGATTCAGAAGGGGCAAATCATGTGCTGATCAAATTGCAACTCCACCCATCATCATTGAACAAGGCACAGAATGGCAGTCAAACCTCAACTTCCTCGACGTCCTAAATGCCTTTAACAGCGTTCACTGAGACGTAATTTGGAAACTGCTTCAACACTATGGAATGCAGCGTCCCAAATCTTTAGCAACCTCATCCAACGTCTGGCTATATGACAAAGACACGTGTCAGGTGATCCACAACGGAAAACTCAGTGAGGTGTTCGAAGTGAATACAGGAGTAAGAAAAGGCTGCCTACTCTCACTACCGATGATATTCCTTATTATGGTGGACTCGGTTATGTGTCAGACTGTGGGAAGAGAGAAGACAAAAATACGTTGGACTGATAAGGAGAATCTAGAAGATTTGCATTTCAGGGATGATTTGTCTAATGTCACACAAACTCGAAGACTTACAAGCGAAAACCAACAAACCGGCAGAAGAGGCTGGCAGGCTGCGAAGACAGGACTCCGGGTGATTTTAGAGAAAGTAGAGGTGAACATGATTAACGAAAGACAACAACCAGTACCAATCACTGTCACGGAAGAAATTAGAAAGAGACGACTCCCTTCACTTATCTAGGGAGCATCGTTTTAACCATAGGCGCGATGGATGAAGATGCTAAAACCAACCAGAGTGGGAAGTTAAGCCATTCTTTTATGACTCTGAGATCAATTTGGAAATCTTCTGAAATAGCTCAGCATGAAGGACCAAGTTCTGATTTTCAACACTAACGTTAAGTCAGTCATTTCTTCAATAAGGGTTAGAAACTTGCACTGAGTGTCACGAAAAGGATTTCCTAAAAGTAACAGACTTTTATCAACAGCTGCTCCGTTCACTGGCTCCATACTGAAGATCAAAGGGTCAGATGGGATTAACAAAAAGAAATTATTTTGAACAAACCAACCAACAGCCGACTGTTCAACAAATATCCTAAAATAAAATGGAGATGGATTGGACACATGCTTAGGTGACTGTCGAATGAAATCGCGCGCCAAACAGACTCTCGAGTGGATTCTGAATGGAAAACGACGAGTCGGTCATCCGAGGGTAATATGGAGGAGATCGTGTAAGGAGCGGATGAGACTTCGGACTATCATGGAGTCAGCTAAAGAGTATCGCGAAGAATAGGACAAAACAGAGATGTGCTATTTGAGCCCGATGTTTCGCTTGAAACAGTAATATGGTATAATAATATTAAGTAATGTCTATATATGTCCAGACCAAGTTCACTTTTAACAGTTTGAAAAAATTTGGCCATTGGGTATATGATATTCATCATAATAAAGGTTTTCTTGTATTTCCCAATGAATGAAAAACAAAACGATATTGTATTAGATGGTTGGAGGCAATCGGCCACAGGAAGCCTTGCTCGACCTAGGTTTCATGCTAGTTGGCACTCATTAGTCAGCAAGGCGTATCTGCAACCTTGAAGGAACTGATGTCCCTTCTGAGATTCGAACCCACGTCACCCAGTGGTGCAGTCAGAGACGTTACCACTGAGCTATTCAGGCTCGTGACTGACCTCCTGTAGGACTGTATTGGATATTTTTAATTACACACTAGTCAGTAACTAGTGTAATGCGTCTAGTCCTATCTTCGGTGCAGACTGAATTCTATCAGTCATGTTTGCAATGTGGCCACCATGCTAGGTGGCTGTTGAGTGCCAACTAGCACGAAATCTAGGTCCAAGGCTTCCTGCCGATCGCCTCCAACCATCTAATACCAACAATTCACAGTGCACCGTAATGGCGAGCCACCTAGCATGGTGGCCACATGGCAAACATGACTGATAGAATTCAGTCTGCACCGAAGACTAGACGCATTACACTAATTACTGACTAGTGTGCAATCAAAACGATATTGTTTTTACTGACGTTGCGCTATTTAATGCTGCTGCTAATAGCTTTATCAAAGTATTATTAAACCGGAATTTACAAAATCTCAGCATATATATAACAAAGAGTTAAGGGTGACAAAATAGACTTAGGTCAAGTTAAAAGGATATATTGAAAGTCAAAATAACAATGAAGACCACTGAACCAAATAACAAAGGTAATAGTACGTCTGTTATGATATCCAAACAAAGTTTACTAATTTGATCATCGTTCATCAGTCTGGGGTCATTTTTTGTTGTCAAGTTGGTCATTTGGTAAAGATAACAAAATCAAGTGTGGATTGTTGGATTTGATCGGTGTGTAAAATTATAAAAGTAGTGTGTGTTTACATAGTGAACTTGCTTATCACATTCGTGTTGATTTTGTCACTTCATGGGGGAGGGAGGTGTTGTTACCAGGTCAGATTCTGTTTCAGTCTATCATTCCTATTCAGGCAATTTGGATTCCACTTGATATGAAGTGCTTCTGATTGATATGAGACGTTCTTTGTGATTTCTGAAGTTTTTCTGGATTATTTCAATATTATCAAAATCAATTTTGTGGCCTGATTCTATAGCGTGCAGACCTAAGGCTGATGATTTTTCTAGTTTTTCTAGTTCAACCGGATTTCTTGGTGGTCGAAGAGATGCTCTACGGTGTTCATTTCTTCTGATTTCGATTTCTCGAGATGTTTGTCCGATGTATATCGCATCACATTCCAAGCATTTTATTTTATAGACACAATGAGATAGATAATCTGTAGGGATTTGGTCTTTTATATGGACAAGGTTGTGTCGTAGTATGTCTGATGTTTTGAAGAAAACTCTGATGTTGTGGTTATTGAGTACCCTTCTGATATCATCTGACGTCTCTGCTCTATATGGAATGACGACCGTTGAAGTCCATGTTTTCGGAATGCATTTTCAGCCATACTTAATGTCTGTGTTGATTTTGTTGATGAAGTTCCTTGGGTAGTTGTTTTGCTTGAGAGTTTCAGTAATGTTTGATATTTCTTCTTCTTTGTTTTTCTTTCTCATCCGTTATCAGAGAGTGTGCTAGTCTAAGAAGACTTGAAACAACTGGAATCTTTGCGCTGACGGGGTGTGATGATTTGAAGCCTAAATATTTATTGGAGTGGGTTTTCTTCCTGAATATGGATATACTAAACTGTCCGTTTTCTCTTCTCTTAACTAGGCAGTCTAGAAATAGTAGTTCACCGACGTCTGATTCTGCTCCCGAAGTAAACTGGATCCTGGGAGATACACAGTTTATTTTCTCCAGGAATAAATTGTGTAGATCTCGTTTTAGTACTACAAAAGTATCATCTACATATCTTAACCATATTTTAGGAGTGAGTAAAAACAATATCATTTTATTTTTCGTTCATTGGGAAATACAAAAACCTTTATAATAATGGATTAAGTAGTGTCTGAGGAAACCATCAAGTGATATCCCTAGACAAGCCATTGCTCGAGTGGAACCCGAAAGGGAAGCAGCGAGTTGGTCGTCAGTGTAAGGGTGACTTGGAGGAGGTCATGTGAAGAGGAGGTGAAAACGTGTGGGCAGACTTGGAGCCAGGTGAAGATTCTAGCAGAGAACCGAACTCAATGGAGACGCACGGCTGAACCCCTATGTTCCTCTAGGAATTAAAGGAAACAATAATAATAGGTAGTGTCTATTAAAAATGTATTTAGAATATGTAAATTGAATGCGTAACTTTTACGTAATCATTCATTATTTATCACACCTCTTCAGCTCTTAAATCCTAAACTTACTACTGTTTTGTTTTTTGTTTCCATTTGTTCATTTTCTTTTTTTGCACAGGAGTTTACACTGGATACAGTGCACTAACCATTGCAGAAGTACTACCTTCCGATGGACATGTAGTCGCCTTGGATATAACAGACGATTGTCTACAAGATTATTGTATACCAGCATGGAAACAAGCTGGTGTAGAGAAGAAAATTGATTTCCGCTTAGGTCCAGCTGTTGACACATTGAGTGAGTGTGTATACTGACTTCGTTCTTTAATTTTCTATGTTTGTTCAACTCCTGACCAACACAGTCATAAACCTTATCTGGCCCGGTGAATCGGGACGGTTGAGTGGGAGGCTAGTAACGTCCCCCACGTAGGCATTACCGCAACTGGAACTTCAAAGCTGAAATTTAAACCCCTCCAAGTTTCACTCGGAATATAAAAACAAAATTAACCCTTACAAACCAAACTATAGAAAATTAATCTGATGCTCTCTAGTGACTTGCTACAGGATGGAGTTTCCTGGAGTCAGTTCTAGTGAGAAGTCGTGACCAGTGAGGTCCATCCAGATGTCACGTGTGAGGATGGATGTCCCACCTACGATAATGGTTGGGGTCGCGCTAAATCACGAATTGGTAGAAGTTAGAATTCATGGGTTGGCCATTGAATCGGGTCCCAGTGGCTGAATGGTATACGAGCTTGCTTGCCTTGTGACCGGAAGGTCATGGGTTCAAACCATGGCGGTGGGTGTGTACTGCCGATGATTCGCAAACTAGGATGAAATAGCTAGCTGTCCAGTACTCCCTGGTGGCTTTCAATGGTTCTCTAACTGATATCAATCCGTGATCAACTCGTAAAAACAAAAGTAACCCTTACAAACCCTTACAAATATATATAAAGAAATCTAAAAATGTCTTCTTAAAGTTGATAATTTCATGTATGATGTAGAAAGTAGTTATCAGAATTCCTGCAGATAAACAAGTATCGAATTAGGGAGAATTTAATCCTCAAATTAAAGGAAATAATTACTACTTATAAAGGGCTTATAAATTACAACTGTGAATAAACCAACATTTATCCAGGCATATGTTAAAGGAATTGAAAATTCCCATTGTCACATTCAAAACAACTCATGAAAGCAAATAATATCGTTTTCTTAAGATTATGAAAATGGTTTGGGAATCTGGAGATGAAGGCAGACCTCAGGTATTGCTGTAGGATGTAACACCCTCTAAGAACCACAAAAACGTTATTTATCATGTGGCAGTAGAAATGAATTAACACCAAATTGTAGAAATTGCATTCCACATTACATTTTCAGTGGATATTACACTATCTGCTTTACACTTGATATTGCATTATGATTATGTTCACAAATATTTGGTCTCTTTTTCGGAGGTTTGTTCAGATTTCCTCATGAGATATAGTTTCTTAAAAATCACAATCACAAATATCCGCATCAAGGATTCTGTAATTACCTGGGATAATTTGAGTGCCGAATCATCATTGAACCATCCGAAAATTCTGGTTATGAGGAGATTTGGATTAATTTCAGTGGTTTGTTTTTGTCACAAACAGACATCCGTCAGAGTGATCATTAAAAACTAGGGAACATTCAACAGCTGTTTTGTCCTACTTTGGGTCTCTTCAGAATTGTGCACTCACGACCTCATTGGGGGGGGTAAACCTGAGGTTTTCAGGATACGAGAATGAGCTGTCTGACTATTAAGCCTATTGGGCCAGAATCCACTGACCTGCGTATATTAAATTTGTCGACTCACCAATTCCTCCGATGAGCATGTGCTTCAATTTTGCCAGTTGGACCCCCAACAGTATCGTTTCCAATTAGTTTTCATTTTTTTCTAGAGGCCAACCAGAATTATACGAAGTGTATTTCAGGCAGCAGAACTGTGTGTTTGTGATCTGCTAGTCAGTAAATGATCGTGATGCAAGCAAAGGATAAGCTAGACGGTTTTATTGTACTTATCCTAATTTATCAATCTAACAACTCTTTTGGAGGTAGTTATGTTGAACAAACTACTGGACGGCGTAGTCAATGTGTTGCTGGATTTCTCTTATTGCGGTTCGGAAAATGGTACATAAAACCTATCTGAAATTCTGTTGTATTTATTGCATTTATTTGATAGTGGATATCCTGTGGAAAAATCATTTCACGTGATTCTTCTTATTTCACGGAATCTTTTCAGTGGCCTTTATGACCGTCAAGCATATATATATATATATATATATATATATATATATATAGCTGAGGTGATTAATATTCGATCTATCAAGCCTAAACTATGGATTCGAAAGAAAATTCGAACATTCATTATTCCTTGTTCGTGGTGGCCAGTAAATATCTGACCACTTGATGGCCCTACCACCTTCACATACATTTGATCGTTATCTTAATGCCTTTTGCTTAGTCTTATTGGATCTTCATTGAAACTTAGTTCATCTACTCCCGTTGCTGTCTGGCATTACTTCACCTGACTGTTTGCTTTACCTAAGAAAGAAGAGGCAAGACAAGGAATGTCTCTCTACAAAAACATTTAAACTAATAGAAGGGAGGAGAATGGGTAAAGAGAAGGCGACCTAATACGAAGATGGACAACAGAACGACAAGCTGTGTTCAACGTGCACCACACTGAATAAAGAAATGAAGACGAGTGCTAGGAAAGACAAAAGATAATTCTACGACACACTGGCAACTGAAATATAACAGGCCCCAGGTAAAAGAGACTTGAGAACATCATATCAGATAACCAGGTCTCTATCGGAGAAAAGATCAGTATGGATGAAACGTACCAAAGATAGTGAATGGGACCTAATTATCGGAGAGGACAGACAAAGAAGATGATAGGCTGATAATATTAGATATATTCATGCCAGTGTTAAAAAAAACGCTTGGTAGGAAAGAAAGGTACCTACTGACTGGAAGAAAAATGACCTCGTCAAACTATCAATGAAGGGTGACTTAGACTATCTGAACATTTGTGTGTATGATCATCTTATTTTCACTATTCTCATTCCGACAAATCACACCATTTTTCAATCTTTCTTACTAATAGGATTGTTATCCGTGTTATGGCTAACCATGACCATAGTTGTTGATTCGAGCAATCTCATCATCGTATTGACAAACTGCCATGAGTGACTTGCATTAAATATAAATTTATTTGTAAAATTATGTCTATCAGAGAAGGGCCTGATAAAATCTAATTGAAAACAGCATTGCTTGCTTACAGGATTGATAGTGAGACTATATTGTGAAATAATCAAGTGTTGGTTGTGAGACTTTTATCTGATGGTTGATTGAACGTGAGGTGAAAATCTTTTCTAGAGGTGGGATCTCAATCAGTATCCACTGAATTCCTTATCTGGGGCTATGAGACTTCCCTGTTAATCAGACGGCTATTTTCATAAGATCATCCTGAGATGTAGTCATCCGCCAAGGAGGGGTTATCTCAGACAGTCTCACCATCCATAAAAAAACCTAACATCCTTGCTTCCTTCTTCTGATTCACTGTGATTAGGATTAACAAGAGAGGGAAACCTAGGTGGGTAGACAGTGTGATAGCGATTGAACAGCAAGGTACCATTCCTTCATCAAAAGACAACTGGCTATCATACGTCATAATTATGTCCCAACTAGCAGCTCAGTCTCGGAACTCAAATAGTGGTTCACTGGACTAGTATTTCGGAGGATGTTAGTCAAAATCATACTACTGCCAAGGTTTTCATTTCGCCTGCAGTTATCACCCATTTAACACTTTTCAGATACTTTTCTTAAACAGATTCATCTGCACTGAATACAGCTTTTGATCGTCGAAAGTGACAGAATTGGTGAGAATTACTTCATTGATTGCATGGAGGATTTCGTCATGAGCTGACATCAGTTAGAGAACCACTGGAAAACCTGGGAGTATTGGACAACTGTTTCGTCCCAGTTCGGGACTCTTCATCAGTACGCACCCACCGGGGTTTGAACCCAATACCTTCTGGTTGCAAGGCGAGCTCGTAGACCATTGAGCCACTGGGACTCGATCCAATGGCCAGTGCCTGCATTCCAGCTTCCGGCAATTCATGACATAGCGCGACCATCTCGCAATGTCTTCTTCGATGAGTTACTGCCTCATCCTCAACCTGCTGTACCCTACTGGTCACAGCTTCCCACTAGAACCCCAGGTTAACTGCCTGAATAGGGCCAGTCACCAGTGAGCATCAGATTATTCTTCAAGGGTTGGTGGTTGCGTACTGCCGATGATTCCCAAACTAGGACGAAAAAGCTGTCCAGTACTCTCAGGTTTTCCAGTGGTTATCTAACTGATGTCAGCTCATGATGAAATCCTCCATGCGATCAAACAAAATCCCTACAAAACCAATACTTGAAAATTACTTCATTATCTACACAATTATCAACACAGAGTAATAGATGAAGGAATAAATTGGCACTGCAGGGAATCACTTCAAAAACTGTGATATAATCTAAAGTAGAAAATGGAAGACACAAGAAGCATTTATAGTTTTACTACAATGTACACATTGACACTTGACGGATAAAATAGCTAAGCTATTTAGGAAATGGCTGTAACTTCGTGAATGCTTAAAAAGAGGTTATAACTGGCTCTGAGATATTCCACTGCGTTTTCAGTTAAGTTGTAAATATCAGCAAAAGTTTTCTGTGAAGAAGAGACCAGTAATATTACTGTGCTTTCAAAGTACACATATTCCTCAGGTTGAAGCAAAATGGCTCCTACTCAGAACATAACTGAAGTAAGGATCCTATCTAATGAACAGAACAGAACAGTATTATCATCAAAAGTACTTACTTAATTTGTAAATCCTTCTCACAATCACGTATAAGGCAAGTTTGATGACACTAACGACAACCAGCACTATGTTAAGGAAAATTCAATTTGTATATTTTTCTCTTATTAATGCTTCATTACTAAGTGCCAATTTGGAAAGATCCAGTCAGTGCTATCTCAAAATATGTGCACAGAAATCGTATGGATCCATTGAGGGCACTGACTAGTACAATCTTGTAAGACTAAACTTGATTAGCCCAGTTTTTAAAGCCAAATCCGCAGATGGGTGCAGAAGCCTCATTGGAAAGTTTTGCTATCTAGGTTACTGTATTTTCACTAATATCTCAAACATAAGTAGATAATAATGACAGGGAAGTGCACATGTCTGAATACAATACTATCATTAACACCTCACCTCTTAAATAAGTCCTCCCAAAAACCATTCAGTCCAGTGGCCTAATGTCCCACTATTCCTATCATCCTAATATTCCCTTCAGGTTAATCCTACTGAAGTTCATACTGTCTCAGACGAAGGCAGATTATAAATGAGTATGCCTAACCTAATTTTCCAATTAAATCAGCGATTACGGCTACATGACACTGTCTAATCCTTTTTTCCTTATAAGTTGCCAGTTTGTCAGCTTATTTCATATCAATTTCTGTGTGACCTTACTGCATACAATGAAAATTTGGAAAACGCGACCGGTAGAAGTGTTTAGTGTTATCTAGTTTCACTCAGACCTGGAAATCTCACGGCGTTATTACTTTTAATGGATCAAGGTGACTCGTTTTTACTTCACACATACATATATAAATCAATAAATCATACGGGTTTGTCTTAATAACATCCAGACACAACTATGCGGGTGAATTTGTTCACTGGATGAGTCATTTTCATCTAATTATAGTTTTTATCATATTTCAGACAATGATAAACTCATTATACTTTCACTAATAATAATGTCTGGATAAATATGAAGGGTGAATGGCATCTATACTCTAGTTAAGATGTTTGTCTCTCGTATGTCTGAATTCTGGATGAAATTTCGTTTGCTGTCTAGGTCATTCCAAGTGTACTGCACCTGAGAATTGGCAGAAATTATTTTGATATTTTATTACTCGACGGTTTGACTATCTCTGAGCCCGCAGATTGTACTTAGCATTTTCGAGAATCACCACTCAAGGTCTTGGTTTCTTGTGATACATATCCACGAGACCAGGTGTAGTTACATTGCTTGAAGGATTGTGAGATTGTCGAGTCACTGACAGCACACTTATGACTGATCCATGACTACATATTTCTGATGGAGTTATGTTTCGACCACATACACACGCAGCTGATATCACTAGAGTGACATTCCTTGACTTCTTCGCCAGACTGTCGTCAACATCACTTGACAAATTATTCCTGCTCAAAGTTGTGTTCAGATATATCCAGATTGATGACAGCATATAACAACACACTGATTTAGTTGGATGCAGCCACCAAATGCGGTGGTAATTCAAAACCATCAGTTGTCTGTGACTAGTCTTCTCTGATCTACACTCGAAGAGACAGATAAATTGATTGTTGGAGGATGAATATCCCTAGCTCAGTCAGCTTAAAGAATTTCTGTAATCCGCTACACACCAATATACACTTGTTCAGTTTCACAGTGAATATTTTGTCCCATCAGTCTTCAGTTTTGATTCCTTCCAGTCAACTTTCAATCATTTATTTTTCACCCTTTTTAGAAAAACTCATCGCTAATGGAGAAAGTGAAACATTCGATTTCGCCTTCATTGATGCTGACAAAGAAAATTACAGTAATTATTACAAGTTGTGCTTACAGCTGATTCGACCACGTGGGATTATCGCTATTGACAATGTAAGTTTGAACTGCTCTTTCTCAGAGTATTTCATTATCTAGGTGGTATTATGATCGTATTCCCTCCACTATGCTGTTTGATAGAGTTTGAGAAAGTTTAGAATCACCCATTTGTAGTTTGCTAGTGAAATAATTAAGATTTGAAAATCTGTGCATGATGAGCAGAGAGGTCAACTAAATTGTCCACAAAAGGTCACCTACGAAACGTGAACACTAATAATAATAATAATAATTTGCTTCATTCCAAAACCGTGCTTATGATACAGTGTGGAATTCTCAGCGCTCGGTAAAATATTCCACCCAGTTTACTCGACAACAACAAAATCAAAAATAATATTACAGGGGACATGTAACCAGAACTGGTAATGGCAGGTTTTTGGTATAAACAGTG